TTACCAATCCAATACAAACATTGTGTTCCGGAGCACCGAAACCACTTTTATAGTCCGCCCAATTCCTGTCAAATCTCAGATTCCCATTTATTCGTTTTTGGATTATCCTGAAAAGATATGCAGTAAATAATGGTTATTTTTGAATTGACTCAGAAAACATGCTTCCTGACTCGTTAAAAAAAACTCTAATAAAAAAGACACGAATTCCAGATTACATGTCATGAAGCCATTGCTTTATATATCGATAACCTACTTTCCACCCGCCTTTCCGTGTATACATATCACAGATAACTGTAACAGGACTGGTTATGGTACGGGTTAATCTGATACACGTCTGAACTGCTGTAACCAGCTTCACAAAGGTCCTCACAATCAGAAGGTATAGCTGAAAAAAATAGAAATGTGTCCATGTGACATGAAATGAGCAATCCAACTTAATTAAAATCTTGTCTAAAAAATTATTTTTACAATAGCTCCAAACTATGTGTGGTATAAAGTCAAAACGTTTACAGTTTATAAATATATCATTGATTAATAGATAGAAAGTATCACTTGATAACAAATATTTTTAAAAAGATATTCTTTGAGAAAAACTGTATAAGAAAATGTGCATATTTAAAGAAAAATGCACATGCTTAATTTTATCCTTTTTGTGAAAACCATCATTGCAGAAATAATATATGTTTATCATTGAAGGGCAAGTTGGACGTGAATTGTCTCTGAAAGGCTGTTATTGAAAGCATGACATGTATAAAGACAAGGCCCCTATAGAATCCGCCATTTGCAATGTACTTTAACTTTCAAGTCTTAACATTTGGACAAGTTAAACAGGAAAAACAACTTTCCAGAGGCTATCCAATTCCAACTTGCCCTTCGTTAAGAGCACGGAATTAATTAGGTGTATTTTTCTTAAAATATATGCATTTTTAAAAAGAATTTTTCTCCATTAATATTTTTTCCAGGTATTTTTATATCAATTGATACTTTCCATCTGTTAATCAATAAAAAATTTATAAACCGTAGAAGTTTTAACTTTATTCCTCACATAGTTTTGGGGCTATGGTAAAAATAAATTTTTGGACATGTTGACCTTTGACGAAACCTTAATGTAAACAATGCGACGTGATAATCATTTTGCATTGTTCATGTGATTATATACCCCCTAAAGTATCGATTAAAGGATTGCCTGTAATTAAGTTTAGCTCTATTACAGATCTAAAGTTTCTACCTTAAAGTTTCGCTTCACAACACGTCTGTTACTAGGGTTGTTTTATTGAGCATTTGAACTAATAAAAAGCAATGAAATGTTACAATTACAGTTGTTTAATGAAATTAAATTATAAGGAATGACTCTTATTAGACCAATTGGTTTCATAGGTTGAATGCCTAAACAGATCACGTGACATAAACAAAAGTTAATTAAGCGAGCGTCGCTAAGTTTTGCAGCAATCAAGTTAGTCACAATAAATTTTATTTTAGAATTATTGTGTGACTAACCATTTCGAGGCCGACCATAAAGGGAGGACAACACTCAGAGGTCTGCCTGGTAACCTTCCTAGAAAGTGTAAGTCTCTCATAGCAGTGGATGACTGTTAGTCTTGAATTAGGACAATTCAGTATCTTTTGTTGTCAGAGGCTGACCACTAGTACATGTAGTAAATTAGGACTTACTTAGTCCTAAGTAAAGGAAAGGGTCATATCCGTACATATTTGCAGGCCAATCATTTGATACAAGTATTTAAGAGGAAAATGATTTGTTAATAATATCAATCCAAATCCGCAGTTTTGGAATCAACAAGGTATGGACTCCTGAACACGTTACAATCCGCTTTGCGGATTATAGAATGTAAACTGGCCCAAACCCAGTATATACTCGAATAATTTGGCCAAGACTTAGAGTCATTGCTTAATTAATTAAAAATACATTTTCTGATTAGTAATGATAAAACAACCAAAAATACAAGTTTGATTAACTTAATATCAGAACAAGCTCGAGAACGTTCTATCAAACAAAGAACTACAAACTAAGGTACAATATAAGTGTTTCTAAAATTACTCAAAATAACATTATGATACAGGTTGAAAATTGAACTCATTATTTTCTTGAAACCGAAATGATTGCGATTATAATCAAGGACCTGTGTAGAAATTCTTGGCTTGAATGTGTAAAACTAAAGTTAACATATAATATATGCAATGATGCGAATAATATCTCCAATTGGCCTCGTCCGACATTTCGGGCGTGATGATTTTCTTGTGTAGACGGCACTTCCTTAACTGAGGGCTGTATCCCAAGAATCCACACGAGCTTTGACACAGGACAGCACATTCTATCAACGAATTAGAGTTGTATTCTCCCAGGAGCTCTTTATTGGATATCTTATGAAATTCCAGGATTGAAGTATATTTCCGCGAGATAAACGTAGCTTTGGACACGATAAAAAAGACAACATGTTGTATTCTGAGTATAATTAGAAAATTGGTCTTTTGGGTGCCATGTTTAAATATAATGCATTTTATCTAGCGCTTAAATTGATTGGTTAGTTGATAGAATTCTCATGTTGTATTCTGCATGCAATACTTTCAACTGCCTTTTTGTGATAATTAGAAAATTGGTCTTTTGGGTGCCATGTTTAAATATAATGCATTTTATCTAGCGCTTAAATTGATTGGTTAGTTGATATGCGTTTTTCACTTTATTGAAATATAGATTTGTTTCATTCATATTCATATTAGAAATTAAAATTAAACTAAAACCATGTTCTGAAGTAGAAGTCATTTCAAATACCGTATAACTGACGAACAAGTCTTACGCGAAGCGCCAATATTTGCGGCCATTTCACGGATGAATTCGCAAAGGAACCACGTAAAATTTGAAAAAAACGCAACCCCTACGTATGATTAGTTTTATTACACAAATAACATTCATTAATTGGACAATTGATTAATAAATTTGATCATTAAAAAAATCAATCGATAACATATATTTAAACAGAGATTAGGATGTTTCCAGAATATCAGTATATGCATATACTGCAAAAATATATTTACCCCCCAACACATACCAACATTAAAAAAAACAGACCCTTTAACTTAATCATATTAACAGTTAACACAGTTCAGAAGAATAAAAGTAATCGGTCACTTTTTTAAAACAGTTTTTGCATGATTTTATCTTCTGAAAGATAAAAGTCAGTCAACTTTAACACGTAGACGACATGCTACACGCTGCACAACATTGACACAGTCAAAAAAGACGATGACCCCGGCTACCAGGCAGATGACGACCACACCCACCAGGCCTAGGTTCTTAGCTGAGCGTCTGTCATCAGGTGCGCTGATCAGGGTGCGTCTGAACTTGTTGGTGTCTTTTCGATTAACTGTCAGGTTGGTTTTAAGGACGTTAACTTTTTCTTGAAGGCGTTCTGGTGTCATTTCTGTAAGTATTTTAAAATATTTACATGTATCTGTCCAAATCATCAGTCGAAAAAAAGACCCAACATTTTGCACAAAAAAGTTTTGTATTTATAGTCTCTGATATCAGTAACTTTAATTGTAAAAACCAGAATCTTACAAAATGAAAAAAAAAATTATGTTGATGGAATTTATTTGATTTCATCTTAGTTTACTTTACGTGCCTTCGATGTAAATGTTGGAATCTCTTAGGTAACATACAAGTACTGTAATAGTTTCTTTAAATTTACGAAGATTGTTTGTCGTTATATACCAAAATAAAACGTAACAATCTTAAATCATAATCTAAATCAAATAAATTGATTAGCTATTGCATTAAAAAAAAAATTAGCTTTAGTAAAAACTTGATGTATTGCTAAACCATTGTTAATTTAAGTGAACTATTCTTTTAAATTACTATAGATTTTAGTCCTTTAGATTAATTTTCAAAATTTAAATAGCAATAATTTGATATGCTTTTTTGTACTTTTAATTTACTAGAAATGACCATTATTTTTAAATACTTCAAATTCTTTCCTCTTCTTAAATTGAATCTTTATTGTAGAATGTTTTAGGCTTTTTGTACCTACATTGTATAATTATTATCAGAACTTCATGCGATTTGCATGTAGAGATAACGAACAGTATTCAATATCAAAGTCCATAAAACAATACAAAATAGGAGCAGAGCAAACACGGACCTCCGAAACATCAGAGATGGGATCAGGTGCCATGAAGGAGTGAGCATCCCCTGCTGACCGGTCAGACCCGCCGTGTGCTCCTTGTCATGATCGGGAAATAACGGAAAAATCCCTCGTCAATTCAATGTATAAATAATGTACTAACAATTAGTATGAAAAACGTCAGTCAGCATTTGACTTAATGATAAATAGTATTTGCTGACAAAGTCATTGTATCGACCATAGAATTTACGAAATGATGACGTTAAACGAGACTGCTGATATTCTTGTTTCATCAACTTGCTTGTCAATAATTTATCTCGTTTTAGAAATTGTTCATACATAGAGCATGCTCTTGCGTATCGAATCTACTGAGATATACATGTATACACTCCGTATGCATGTGATGAAGGTATATTGCTGTATAAGTAAGGGAAGTTGAAGATAGAAAAGTTAAACTCATCACGTTTATCATATAGCTTGGTTGTTAAATTACAATTAACGTCTTTTTCAAGTAAAATATCCAAGTATGAAACAGATGTGTCAGACTCTGTGGTATCCTTTATCTCAAGCTCTCCAGGATATATTGTATCGACGTAGGAATGGAAATTACTATTGTTAATTGACAATACGTCGTCGATATATTTTAATGTCGAGTTAATACTTATCGATGCTGCTTTGATCGGTGTATTAAAAGTATAAATTGATGAAATATATAGATTTGAATTATGATGAATTGATGAAAATGTATGGAAGATGTGATTATAATGCATTGATGAAAATAAATGAAAAATGTAAATTATGATGAACTGCTGACAATATATTACGATAAATTGATAAAAATACATAGTAGATTTAAATTCTGATGAATTGATGACAATATATGGTACACTGAATTATCGACGGATTTTACTTCCCAATCATGACAAGGAGCACACGGCGACCAGTCGGCAAGGAATGCTTACTCCTCCATGACACCTGATCTTATCTCCGATGTTTTTGAGGTCCATGTTTGCTTTGCTTTAAATTCGTATTGTTTAATGGACTTTTGACCTTGAATACTGTTCTCCATATATTTAATGGTAGATGAGAATTACGAAGAATTAATGACAATATGAAGTGAATTATGATGAATTGCTGATAATATATAAATGGTTGTTAATTTTGATGAATTGATAGCAAAATATGGTTGATTTAAATTATGAAGAATCGATAACAATAATATTGTTATATATATTTATGAAATATGTAAATGATGATGATTTGTTGACAATATATGGTAGATGTAAAGGATGATGAAATGATGACAAAATATGGTAGATGTAAATTATGATGAATTGATGACAGTATATGGTAGATGTAAATTATGATGAACCAATGACGGTATATGATAGATGTAAATTATGATGAATTGATGACAATATATGATAGATGTAAATTATGATGAATTGATGACAATATATGGTAGATGTAAATTATGATGAACCAATGACGGTATATGATAGATGTAAATTATGATGAATTGATGACAATATATGGTAGATGTAAATTATGATGAACCAATGACGGTATATGATAGATGTAAATTATGATGAATTGATGACAATATATGGTAGATGTAAATTATGATGAACCAATGACGGTATATGATAGATGTAAATTACCTGGGCAGAGTTCAGATAGCACCTGAGGAAATGACGCTGAGTACGCTCCTTTCTTGAAGACAAAAAAACCTGTGAATTAAAATGTATCACATGTGAGAGACGTGGAATGATTGATCAGTGCTTGTAATTCTAGGCAACGAGTTTATTTTTTTTTTAAACTTTTAAAAGATCGAAACGGCATGAAATGCAACTGATTTATAATTCGTATCAGCAATCGAAGTTACATGAAAAGAGCCTCAACTATTTCGTAAACCTAAGAAAAACAGAAAATTATGAACACTGAGGACATGGGAAGGTCAAACATTGAGAAATATGACACGGATGAATACTTTTTAAACCCCAATGAATATGTGAGTTTTGGAACTGGAATGTCAAGATTATTAATTGAACAACTGTTTGTTGAAATGTCTTAAAAGGTAAATTCAAGATTATAGCGAAGCCAAGATAAGAAAAGTATGAAAGCTGAAAAGATTACGCCACTTTTAATATAGATATATACATATATATCTTTGTATGGCAATCAAAAAAACGGCAAAAAAATAAATACCAAGACTAAAATGAATATCAGCATAAAATACACACTTTCGAAATAGAAGACAAAACCAGATATCGGTTGACACAAAGGATGACTGCATTTAACGTAGTCCTTTCAATTGCCGCTAGGGTTTACTGTTTAGAACGATAACTCGTTGCTGAAACTTTTTAACTGTTTATATGCAAGACAGTTTTTAGCATTTCCCAAGTCGTTTCTTTGCTTTCAATAGAATCCAGTGGTTTTAAAATTTAGTACTAATGTTAAAACTTTTTACTGTATAAATGCGGACACCGTTTAAGTAGATATAAGTATATTTTTTAATTAAAATAAAAAGTGAAATCTACCCTCCTTCTTAGTTCTAACCTGATTAAATGATTATACTCGGTCGTTCTTCTTCGTGCTAGGTAACACAAATAAGATAAATAATTGTTGCATTTACTTGTAAAAATATATATATTTATATAGGAAGCGCAAAGGTGCGCACAAAAAAGCATGACATTATATTTTCTTCTTCATAACAATCGTCAAAGAGAGTTAAAAATATTGAATATAGTCTGTTCCCCATTCATTTGACCCTGTTATTTCAGGTAGAGTGAAGGCATTCTCTTTTAAATACTTTTGATCAACGCTTTCTGTGTACAAAACAATGTAAGGAACCCTTTTGTGTACATAACAATACCAATGCTGAAGTATGCTATATGTCATTCCTATAAACGATAACTCATAAATCCTCACTTAGTTGGTCATTTTTCACACCTGAGTTACCTGTCCTTAAAACACAACATCGTACATTTCAATTATAAATAATAAAAAATTTGAATGATTTAATTAACTGTATGCACAAGTTATTATCTTTTTTGATAAATTCATATACCTATAAATCTATCAATGAAATATTTTTTACTATATGTGCAACTTAAAAAATTAGTTGAAAGGCTTATTTAACGCTGTGTTTTCGGTCTTTTTCGGTCACTTCTGTTGCTTTTAAATCTTGACGTAAGTTCACTTTTATATATTTACTATAGTGGTCTGTCAATTAGACACCCGATTTCAATGTTAAAAATGATTTTAGACTGTAATGCTATAACTTATTACATGTTTTTGTCCTTACAGTTTTCAAAATACAGATCATTTGCACTTACCTGCCCTTGATTGAATATTATGTATGTATGAGAAGAGGAGCTAACATATCGTATAAGAATGAATCTAAAATTAGACTGGATGAATTACAATGACATGTACTAGTATTTAAAAATACGAGATCATTATTTTTCATCTTCCTATATATTCTGTATGGTACATGTACATTATTTACAACTAAACGGTTTTAGACGTATAAGCCCATCCATGTAAGTAATGAATATGTAAAATCGATGACTAACTATTTAACGTGTTCAAACACATTGTTCCAGTTAGCATGCTACTGTAAGTCACGTGATGGAATTTTGTACTCACAAAATTACCCGAAGAAAGATATCATGTGGTGAATAATAATATTCAAAGTGACACAGTCGTTGGTTACAACAGAGAGAGCGAGTGTAAGAAGAAGCAGTTTTTTTCTCTTTTAAACCATGAGCGCATATTTGTCTGTTAATCTCCTTTTAACACAACATTACTAATGCAAATATAGAAAAACTGTTAAATGAAGAACAATAGACAACCATGCGCTAACTGTGTATAAAGTTAGTAAAAAAGGTGGGCGTCCTCATTATCGTACGGAGATTGAAGAACTTGTGATGACCCCCGCCTTAGAAAACAGATTCGTACATCGTAAATACATACTTTTATTTATTGTAATTAAATAAAGTTGTAGATTAGATGATTATCATTCTTGCAATTAAAAGAAAAGTGTCTGTTTTAAAAATTTATTTTCACGCAAATTTCGCAGATACTTAAGTGCAGTCATCCTTTAAGATATGAAAGCTAAATAAAAATGAATATAATACATACTCTTATGACAAATGGGTGTCGAAGGAGAAAGAGTTTCATTATTTCTTGCTGTACAATTTTTCAGGTACCGGTAAGGTGTACATGAATTATTTGTGGTTGGGTTCCATATTGTTGCATAACAACTTTTTGATTTCATGCATATGTCCCTGCAACTTTTTTCGTCAGGTTTAGTTTTACTTGATCCATCTACTTCTAATAGATATGGACATTCATCTTCTAATTCCTCTTTTACAGACACCATCGTGCAGTTTGCCTTTGCTGAAAGTTAAAATCAAAATTGACAATTTCATATCAAAGGTAAAGTTGTCTACTCTTGCTGAATGAGATTTGTAGATTGATATTCAAAAATGCCCCTTATACATGTACATTATTTATGATTATACGTATATTATATATTTAGATCTCATAAAATAGTTCTTTTTTGTGTGTACATGTATATTGGATTAAAATTGTGTGCACTTAAACTCAAATTTGCATGCGCGTTAACATGAATTAAAGGAACGTGGGCAGGGCTTAAAAATATTTCGATCAATTGTTTCTATAAAACTTTATGCCTAATTATTTCCCGACTGGCGCAGTTAAGAGCGTGTGCTCTAGAGACGCGAAGTAAGAAGTTGATCCTTACGTCGCGGGTTCGAATCCTACTGTGGGACATGAGACCGGTCCTTTATATCGCAGGAGGTGTTGGCACAAAAAAGAACCCTCGCTGCTTAATGGCTGTAAGTGCCAAGTATAGGACAAAAGTTTGTAGCTCTCCATATGAGTCATCGCAAATCTCTCTTGAAGGTATACACTTCGACCGAAATTGTGATGGGTTGAGTGACGACACTGATGAATCTGACTGAAATATAATTGAATCTTACTGACTTCAATTGCGAAATCCAACAAAGAATCTGATTGGTGCTTTTTTATAGGCCCGCCCACTTTCTCAAATGTTAATCCGAAAATATATACAACATTTACTATTAATTAATGTACATAGAAGAACAAAAACATTTGTTTTTTTTTTTAATCAATTAATAATGAAGGTAATACATTGTTGAAATTCTTACAAAAAATAATTTCTATAGATGATAAAATGATGCTGTTATTGCTTATAATCTTGTTTTTGAAAATAAAATTATATTCCAAAATAATTATGTATTTTCTTAAATTAAAAAAGGGAGACTATAAGATGAAATAATGAATATTTCAAGAAATAAAAAAAAAAAAATCATTTTAAATTTTAGTATTTAAATGTATGAATCAGTGGAGGAAAGCATTTTTATGCATAGGTTCATACATGTACATATGATATATATCACATAGATTTCATAAAAACTAAAATATACCCACACGCACATATATATCAATGTATGTATAAAATTATCATCAAATTTATATTTTTTTCTATAAGTGGCATTTTCACTAAGTGCCGTTTTGACCAAGTGCCGTTTTGCATAATCCAGGTGCCGTTTTCACCAAGTACCGTCCGAACCATAATTCCGTTGAAATGGGTATGCAGTTGCACACATACATTTGACACATATGGTATTTTTGACAGTATTAACAATAAAACAGTAAACTTTTGAATATATCCAGTGTTTTACGTGTTTTACCACCTATGAATTTATTTTTTTCAGTGGATAACAAGTTCGCCGCATCAGCTGGGTATAATCACATGATTTCCAGTAATACCAACGTCTTCAGTTTGCTTGTGTTTGCCAACTCAATGAAATAACTCACGTGTGAATAAAACATGGAGAAAAAGATTTTTAATGCACTGAAAAGTCGCACAAAACACCGAAAATGGAAAATAAGAAATCGGCAGAATAGTGTACGCCATCGAACGATATTTATGTATTGTCTGCGAAAGGAATACATGTATATCACATGCTAAAAAATGATTTTATATTTTCTTTCTTTGTTTTTTTTTTTTATTTGGTTCAAAAGTCAAAAACGCATTTCGACAATCAAACATGGCTATTCGCTAGGCCGTTGGACGCTTTCCAACTTACATGTAAAAAAGGCAAAGGATACCGCACGAGAGTGGATGGGTCTTGATCAACCAATTAATATGCTTGTTTTATAAAATGAAACCCGTGATTCACATTGTTCAATTGTCAAAATTTAACAGTGTCATTACTCAAAGCAATGCTATTTCGGTCGGAGTGTATACTTTCAAGCGAGATTTGCGATAAAAATTCTCCACAGGGACTTTAAACAACAAACAAACAAACAGTGTCTAATATGTAACAGCGTTTTAGACCGATATGTCATAAAAGCGTGCTTAGTTTTAAAATATTCTGAAAAATTATCATATTAACTACTTGTGTATATTTGTGTTTATTTCTTGATATTTCTTGGTGTTTGATTGATACTTATCCTTACTGTCAAGATCTTAAATTTATCCCTGAAGAGCCATGGCCAAACATTTGAGGTTAATATTTTCTAAAATGTTTCTGCAAAGTACCATGTCTTACAGTTTCAAGAGCACCAGTGTTTTCCGTGTGTGTACAGTGATCCGTGAACGGTAAGTAAATCGAACACACTCGATACAATGTAATCATTAAACCCCCCGCTTGAAAAATGGAAGGGTATATAGTAATCGGTATGTCCGTCCGTCTGTACGTCCGCCTGTCTGTTACGCTTTGGAGTACCCATCTCATCCGCAACTTCTCTTATACCACTGAATGAAATTTAATGAAACTTTCACAGAATCTCTATTACATATTGCCATTGTGCACCTCCTATTTCACTTTTCGATTTGACACATATTTTGTGTTTCTCGGCCACAGCAAACCATGGACTTTGGCATTTTAACCATATTGGAGGCAAGGGGTATCATTTAGTGAGCTCATTGCTCACAATACCTCTAGTTTAATATACAATAACAGAGCTAATAGATAGTTCAACGAATAAAGCATGAAACTAAAGTTATATTTTTATTTTAAAAAATAATATTTCATTATTGAAATCGAAACAGGCATACCTATTTTAATTTTAAAGAAGAAATATGTGAAGTTAGTAATTTAAAGTTTTTTGTACAATAAACAAAAAATTATCATTGTAAAAGCATTAAGATTGTGTCTATGATTTTTTTTTTTACCTTTGCTTTTGTTTTCGCAAACAAAAGTCTTATTCTTGGTACAAGAATCCGGGTAAAATTTTCTATCTGTAAATTTATAGTAGATGCACACGATTTCATCTATTGGTCTTGGATCCGTTTTCATAACATCAAGTTTGAATGGTTTACAGTTCAGGTGCAAGCTTTCATTGCTTGATGACCGCATAATTGCTCCAATCCAAACATCAGAATAATTGCTGGAAAATACAGGTACTATTACTCTGTAGATCATTTTATTACACACTTAGTAATAAATACAGGCTTTTTGCATATGGCTACTCTGTAGGGCTGATATGATCATAACCTATATCATTCTCGCGACACCTATATTCCATATCAGCCCTGCAGGGCTGAGCTATTGTGACGTCAATATCACACCCTTATAAATTAAACCACAAAAACAGTTCTTGTGATCAAAATTTTTGGTGGGTTCGCGAATTTTAACTTTTTGAAAATAAGGTTAAAGTTAATTTACAAATACATGTATAGGTTATTTTAAATTACGGATCGAGTGCATTGAAACAGAATTAGAAACAAACCCAAATCGTATGAGACAATAGATCATGTATATTTCTGTAAGAAGTACAAATTTATATTTTCTTCTCAACTTAACGTGTTCTGTATTTTATTACTAAGTATGTAATAAATATAATAAAACATACCCTTTTCCACATCACATCCTGACAGACTCACGGGCCTTCGGCCCTCTGGCTGATATTGGTGTCGTGATATGTGATATGGAAAAGGGTATGTATTATTCTCTATATATTCTCGCGAATTAACTTAAGCTATTTGGTATTTATTAACAAGACAAAATTTTCGCGAGCTGTGGTTTCTGTTGTATATGAACATTAATAGTACAAATATACGCGAGAAAATTTTCGCGAGCAGACAGACTCACGTACGTAATTACGCGAAAATAACGTTCTCGCGAATAAAAAGTGATTTAGAGTATTCTATTCTATGCATATATTCACAGTCCCTGTGACATAGCTTTGGTCAAAGCGTTTGATGTTCTAAGATCACATTTTTAAACAAAATATGACATTTTTTGACAATTCTGAATTCGATTTTACGGAAAAAATTTAATGAACTGATGGTCGTTTGTGTATCTCGAGTTAAAACTCATCATTACTGATCTATTTGCCTAAATTACGGGAATACTCAAATACTTATCAAATGTTTTAAATCATCATTTCGCAAGTTCAGTTGTCGATACAATGTTATTGTGAGCAAAACCAATCTATTGGTGGGTCAAATATTGACTGTCTTCCTCATAATAAATTGTATTTAACATGCATATACTCCGAACTTTCTTCGGATTTTCTCGGTTATCCGATAATGAAACTTAAGGAGCACACGGCGGTTGTGAACGGTCGACAGGGGATGCTTACTCCTCCGTGTCAATTGATCCCACCTGGATGTTTTTGGAGGTCCATCTTTGCACAGTTCCCGAGTTGTATAATGTTTAAATGGGCTTTGAGCGTGAATACATAGAGGATATTCAATGTTTTGTAGTTGAATATGGAATTTATTTCACGAGTGGGACAGGATTTTTGATATTTTCACGAGTGCGAAGCACGAGTGAAAATATCAAAAAATCCTGTCTCACGAGTGAAATAAATTCCATATTCAACTACAAAACATTGAATTTTCTGTTTATTACATTTTTCAAAAAAAATTCTTTGATTTTTCCTTTGCCTCTGTCTTTATTAACCCTTTCCACGCCGAATAACGTTACGACGATAACGTCAAGGATGCCATACTATGACGTCAACTAAGACGTAAAATAGTTGCGTCAGAAAAAAAGCGTCAAATTGATAATGAAAAAGCACCTGTTTAACCAAGGTCAAAGGATGTAAGGAAAATGCTTATAAAAGAATCATATTTATTCCAATAATTTTAATATCAGTACAATAAAGTAAGCAAGCATTAATCCTATAGCTAGCAATTGCAAGGAAAGACTTTAGATAGAACAAAAGAGACCCCAACTCTTTTTTTTTTAAATCTTTATACTAAATGATTATGTTATTAATTAATAAGTGCCGTATATTAGAAAACAGACCCTTATATAACCTGGTTACTTTCTTAATGCAAATATGCATAACTTAATTTATTTTTAAATATAATAATTTATATCATTTTTCCAGTATTTGATGAGCATTTTAATAATTAAGAATCTTCAAAACAAAGTTGGCGTGGCTCAATGATAATGTAATTTGTCGTTGCGGGTCTCGAACTCAGTACGTTTCTAAACAACCAACATTTTAAAGTAAATCTTTATTGTGTTGATACAATGCCTCCCCCCAAATACCATGAAAAAAGAGAGAAGTCCGAAAATTAGGGCACCACGGGCCATCCCCTCGCAAAAAAATCGATCCCCATATAATAGAATAAATATTACTTTCATGTTAATGAGCTCATGGTGTATAAAATTGGTTTTTCAGGGTTAAATCATAAATAATAAAATCTTTTCTACTACCACGCGGAGAAACATAAACACCAGGCTCATTTACATAATGAAGTTTTGTTTTGAGACAGTTTATTCCATATTTAAAAATTAAATATCATTAATTAAACATGTATTTATATTTATTGGGGTTTTTTCTCAAGTAAATCAGACTGTATCAAAAGCAGTAATGATAGTAATGCTGCTGAACTGAGGAATAGTAGATCGACTTTTATGTCAGGATTTTTTTTTTGGGGGGGGGGGGGGGTTAACACTTGGACACAACAATCGAACATCATCTCAAAAACGTTATAGAAATTGGTTTCTGTAATATATTAATAGATTCCAAATGTCGGAATGACTTGGCCATTCGCGATCATATTCCCAAATACAAATTCTCACCTGCTTGACAGAAAAATACGTCATGCTTTAGCATATGAGCTCGACTTCTAATTGTAAATTAATTGAAAAATTAAATTGTATCATTACGCATGGTTTGAAATAATGAACTTTCTAAATTCCCGAAATTTATCATAACGCGTCAGATTAATCAATAATATTTCTATTTAACGATTGTCTGGATTCCAACTCAGATTTATGAAAAGTTCTAAAATGAAAAAAAATGTATAGTTTGATCAATGATAGGTGTATTGCAGTCATTTGACGAAATCTACATGTAGTGTACAGTGTAGTGTATAGTGTATTTGATTAAGGAAACACTGTCTAGTTAGTATAATATGCCAGGGCATCAACGATAATTGATGCTCCTGGCATATACTATACTAACTAGACAGTGATTCCTTATATTACCATTTCATTGTGAAATAATATTGTAGATTTAGATTTTTAAAATGTAGACATGGATTTAAATAACATGAGGACTCCCATACCAATTTCAAAAGTCCTCGCCTACTGATGTCAAATACAAAGACAGCCGCCCGAAATTTCCATGCATATTTGGCCAACTTATCTATTGACATGCCTAATTACCATTCCGGTAGAATTATAAAGGAATCAACTCCACTAACTTTCAAAGAGTTATCACAGAGAAAAAAATAAAAATGGAAATGTAATGGCGTGAGCTTACCTGCATGCAATCGTGGCTTTTCATATTTAGGTAAATTGTGTTGGAATGTACGTATTTATTTACGTCTAAAGCAATAATTAAATAATTCGTATAGCACTAATGTTAATAATTTTTTTTTGTATGAGGCCATGCAGATAGGTATATCGTTTAATACTACGGCTCTAAATGGACTCTCTTCAAAGGCATCTTAACCATTTTGTTAATGCAATGTTACACTATCTCGGAATCTCGAAGCTTTTTATCTTTTGTTTGTTTAGCGTCCACACTAAAGTTAAAAAAATTTTCTATCTGAATAAAAAACACACAAGAAAACATTGATGTAACCATCAATTGTCGCCCGGGAAATAAATAAAGTAAACAATGGAAATGAGTCTTGATCATCAAACTGCTTCGAAAAGTGTGAAAAAGGTAAATGGAGATGATAATCGAGAATATTTTGAAAACTTATAATCGGATGAAAATCGAACAAAAAAACGATACCCTTTAAGTTTTAAAATTCATCAATTCCTCAAATAAATGTTGGCTGCATAAAATATATATTGAAACCATGCAGGCACATACATCGCCTATATTCAAAATATGTATTTCACTTTAAGAATATAAAACAAACGTACTGTGTAGAGTTCGTTTTTATGCGGCAAGTAAAATTCGGAGTTCTAAAAAAAGGGACCTGTCGTTTTTCGGTCTGTGAATAATAAGCAACTTTATATATTAAACATGAAAAACATATATAACTTTACAGATTCACTTCATGGAAGTAAATATATTATGTTTCTCGTAATTTATAAAGGGGAAGAACATTCTGATTAACAATCTTTTTAACATTTAGACAATCTTTGTTTCAGAATAACTTCTCCCACCTCAATCCCCATACACCAAGGCTTAAACTTATATGTATAGAGCAGCCCGGTCCTCCGGGCTGCAATAATGAAATGGAAAAGCACAACATGGGGAATTTCTCATCATCGTCTGGGAATATACTTTGTATCAAATATAAACTACTAGTGTAGCGATCTCAAAGTGTAATCTCTATGGCAAAAATTTGTATTTATACATTTTCATAGTGTGTTTGTTTTCAAATATACCTAAAAACTAATTCCGAGTCGTCCGCTAACGCTAAACATTTTTTTTTTTTTTTTTTTTTTTTTTTGCAACGAAATAGAACTTGCTGAAAAGCTTAAGGGTCATAAACCCTCTGCTCACTTATATAAAATGTTGCTTTAATTATAACCTTAATGATTTTCCAAAAAAGCTCATAAAGGAATACATGTGTATGTAATAATAGACATCTATGTCAATTAGAGTTATCTCTCTTATCAGAGTATCGATGTACCTTAAAGCTGACATGAACTCTTAAAAAGGCATCAGTTTTCATCTTTGTACGACTTACTACATTCCTGTACGCCCTTGTCCGACATATTTGTTCGATTCCGCCATATTTAATCGAAGATTTTTGGCCACCTGTACCTGCTATATATAGCCTTGACGAATTGTTTCACTTGAGTGATTCTCTAGTCTGGCTGTCGACATGTACACATCTCCGATAGCATAGTTTTTAAAAGTCCATAAACGACCAATACATGTTTGAAAAGTAAAAATTCAACAAAAAATAGAACTATAAAGAATTAAATTATTTTTGAAT